TGAGAATTGGCCGATGGCAGGCCCGCCTTTGAGCGTGCGGAGGTGTAGGGATGCTGTTTGTGTCGATGGAATTTCGATGGCTCTTGCCAGGCGGAAGCCTCAAACAGGTGAAACACCGAGGTCATGGGCCTTCCTAACTGATGCGGGAACTGCACACTCTGTGGCATATCCATGTGCCGAGTGCAACACGTTCGAGAGCCTAGCTTCCCCCAAGGAATTGCAGCAAGAAAAGGCTTAGCAATATGGCAAGATGGTCAAATGCGCCGAATGATTGCAGACTCGTGGAGTCCCCCCAATATTGGTGTTCCAGATTTAGGAACAGCTTGACACAAGCAGCAGTCAGCCTTTGTTTATCAGTTTGTTCGGGTCAACATCACCCAACTCGTTTTAAAAACAGTATGGTAATGGCGGATTTGTCAGATTCTAACCTGACCTTTTTCAAGTGGCGAGCTCGTGCTGCGTTCTCGGAAGGGGGCACGCGCTTCGTGATTAGTCAATGCAAAGCACCTTCAACTGTGCAAACGGATGCAGCAAGTGCTCACTTCAGTTTCTGGACTTGGTACTTCTCAAACATAAAGTTCCAGTTCCGACTTTGTTCGGCCAGCCCACTCAAGTGAGCATTTGAGACTTGAAGCGGAGATCATGGCGATGTAGCCACCTTAGTGCCGGAACCTGCAAGTTCAACGAATGTTTCCGGAAGCGGCTTGACGGATGACGCAATGTGCTACCCCGGATGCTCCCGATTGATTTCGGGCGCTCAAACAGGTAGGTTCTGAGACCCCCGAACACTGCTGGGGTGTGCAATGGAGGGGTCCGGGTCTTCCCTGCAAGACCCCCAGCTGGCAAGTCATTTTGCCAATTTGAAACAGAAGTACAAGGTTGGCAAAGAACAAGCTGCCAATAGCCACGCTCGCCTGTTACAAGACGAGCGGGGTAAGAGTTACTGGGTTGAGGATTTCAAACACGCGGGGTGAGGAGCGAAGGACTGAAAAATGGGTAACGCAAAGGCGAGCTTTCTGGATGAAGGCTGCAGAGACATACCGGCTCAAATGCACACCAGCACATGGGCCCGCACGCTCACTGAGTTATGGCACTTCTCATGTGAACAAAAGCGTCCGCTTTAGCAGCCTGCATTGACTGGGCCACAGGCTTTCTAAGTATCCTTGGCCCCGTTGATCCCTCCAGCGCCCTCTTCACGGATGGTACAATGTGTCACTGTGCTGCTGAGATGTTCTAGATGTGCGTTGCGCAGATTGGCCTTTGGCCGCGGCAAACACTTCGTGAACTGAACAAGGACCATGGGAAATCAATGCGTGAAGGACGTATGGCAATCCTTGGGTTGGTGTATGGTGCTCTGAGTGGCAAACTTGCAAGAGCTGTGACGCGGATGGTAGCTTGAAGCTGGCAGGGGTGCGCGGCTTTGCACTGCTGTCATGCGGCTAAAGCGCGGGCCGGCTCTGAGGGCAGCTGTAGCTCCCAAAGTCAAAACGCAAGCATTGCGCGGTCGGGCCCAGTGTTTTACATTTCCACACTGCTGCGCCTGCAGCGCACTGACGCAGGAGCTGGCTGTTTTAGCGCAAGGGGCATGTTATGATCAGTCTTGAAGATTGCAGTGCTATCCGCTTACATCATTCAGGCTCAGTGAGATAGACAGTGCCCCAAGGTGTTGTGAGACTGTCAGAGGGCCTTCGTTTGCCGCCACGATGGCATGCCCTGCTTTCTTTGCAGACTCGGGCGCAGCAGCGACGCCTGCGACAGATCCCACCGTGCCTTGGCTTGGGTGTTGGCGGTGTGTTGGCACCAAGCACTTCAGTGTCGATCGCTTGCTGTTCCTGTTTTCTGACTGTTTGATCTACCCAGCGAGCGCAAAAGCAATTCAGGTTGCAGCGTGATGGGAGGAGCGAGGGCTGCAAGTGGGCTTTGCAGCGTTCCCCAGCTATCTTCGGGTGCTATGCTCATTTCACACACCGGCCCGCACGCTCACTCTTTTCATTTCAACAAAAGCGTCCGCTTTAGCAGCCTGCTTTGACTGAACCACAGCCTCTATAAGTATCCTTGGCCCAGTTGATCTCTCCAGCGCCCACTTCATGTTCCAGATGTGCGGTGCGCAGCTTGACCAACACTTCGTGAACTGAACAAGGATCATGGGAAATCAATGCGAGAAAGACAGGCCAATTACAAGCTAGTTTGCTTGCTTTGTTTATCCAGAGCAGGTGCCGCGTTGTGTTGAGCAACGCTTTGTGGCTGGGTTGTCTGATTCCAGTGAGACACTCAAGAATCCTTAGCACGTGGCAATTTCGGGTACGAGGCAGCGCCCGCGGGGACGTATTGCAATCCGCGGCGATATCTATAGACATGCCCCTTTGAGATCCGATTCGCGCAGCCAGTTGCGAAGTTATTTGACATGTGTCTCACACAGCAAACCATCATGGCACGCACATGGCCAAACGAAAGGCAAGAGTGCCATACACAAAAAAACATGCCGCACTCATGGCATTCCTTGTCTTAATTGCCAGTTCCATGTTGTGCTTGCAATCCTTGCCTGCAAAGCCTGTTTGACCTGGCCCTGTCCTGTTTCAGGAAGGAGCTATAGCTTGCAGTTCTACAGCGCGCTCTGGGGCTTTGCTGCCGTACATCTCCATAGCTTTGAGGCTGGCAGGGGTGCGCAGCCTTGCACCGCTGCTGTCATGCGGCTAAAGCGCTGGCCGGCTCTGAGGGCCGCCGCAGCTCCCAAAGTCAAACCGCAAGCATTGCGCGGTCGGGCCCAGTGTTTTACATTTCCACACTGTTGCGCCTGCAGTGCACTGACGCAGGAGCTGGCCGTTTCAGCGCAAGGGGCATGTTATGCCATCAGTCTTGAAGATTGCAGCGCTATCCGCTTGCGTCATTGAGGCTCAGTGAGATAGACAGTGCCCCAAGGTGTTGTGCGACTGCCGGAGGGCCTTCTACTTTCTTTGCAGGGTCGGGCGCAGCAGCGACGCCTTGCGACAGAACCCACCGTGCCTTGGCCTGGGTGCTCGCTTTGCAGCATTGTCCAGCTATCTTCGCGTGCTATGCTCATTTCACACCTCGGCCCCCCACCCTCACTGAGTTATGGCGCTTCTCATGTGAACAAAAGCGGGCGCTTCAGCCTGCATTGACTGGGCCACAGGCTTTCTAAGTATCGTTGGCCCCGTTGATCCCTCCAGCGCCCTCTTCACGCTGCATTGTGTCACTGTGCTGCTCAGATGTTCTAGATGTGCGTTGCGCAGATTGGCTTTTGGCCGCGGCAAACCCTGTGTGAACTGAACAAGGATTATGTGAAATCAATGCGAGAAGGAAGTATGGCACTCCTTGGGTTGGTGTATGGTGCTCTGAGTGGCAAACTTGTAAGAGCTGTGACGCGGACGGTAGCTTGAAGCTGGCAGGGGTGCGCGGCTTTGCACCGCTGCTGTCATGCGGCTAAAGCGCTGGCCGGCTCTGAGGGCCGCCGCAGCTCCCAAAGTCAAAACGCAAGCATTGCGCGGTCGGGCCCAGTGTTTTACACTTCCACACTGCTGCGCCTGCAGTGCACTGACGCAGGAGCTCGCCGTTTTAGCGCAAGGGGCATGTTATGCCATCAAAGATTGCAGCGCTATCCGCTTGCGTCATTGAGGCTCAGTGAGATAGACAGTGCCCCAAGGTGTTGTGCGACTGCCAGAGGGCCTTCGTTTGCCGCCACGATGGCATGCCCTGCTTTCTTTGCAGACTCGGGCGCAGCAGCGACGCCTTGCGACAGAACCCACCGTGCTTTGGCTTGGGTGTTCGCTTTGCAGCATTGTCCAGCTATCTTCGCGTGCTATGCTCATTCACACATGGGCCCGCACGCTCACTGAGTTATGGCACTTCTCATGTGAACAAAAGCGTCCGCTTTAGCAGCCTGCATTGACTGGGCCACAGGCTTTCTAAGTATGCTTGGCCCCGTTGATCCCTCCAGCGCCCTCTTCACGGATGGTACAATGTGTCACTGTGCCGCTGAGATGTTCTAGATGTGCGTTGCGCAGATTGGCCTTTGGACGCGGCAAGCACTTCGTGAACGAACAAGGATCATGGGAAATCAATGCAACAAGGACGTATGGCATTCCACTCAGAGCAAATTTGTAAGAGCTGTGACGCGGACGGTATCTTGAAGCTGTCAGGGGTGCCGCTGCTGTCATGCGGCTAAAGCGCGGGCCGGCTCTGAGGGCAGCTGTAGCTCCCAAAGTCAAAACGCAAGCATTGCGCGGTCGGGCCCAGTGTTTTACATTTCCACACTGCTGCGCCTGCAGTGCACTGACGCAGGAGCTGGCTGTTTTAGCGCAAGGGGCATGTTATGCCATCAGTCTTGAAGATTGCAGTGCTATCCGCTTACATCATTCAGGCTCAGTGAGATAGACAGTGGCTCAAGGTGTTGTGAGACTGTCAGAGGACCTTCGTTTGCCGCCACGATGGCATGCCCTGCTTTCTTTGCAGAGTCGGGCGCAGCAGCGACGCCTTGCGACGGAACCCGCCGTGCCTTGGCTTGGGTGTTGGCGGTGTGTCGGCACCAAGCACTTCAGTGTCGATCGCTTGCTGTTCCTGTTTTCTGACCGCCGTTTAGTCTACCCAGCGAGCGCCGAGCGCAAAAGCAATTCGGGTTGCAGCGTGATGAGAGGAGCGAGGGCTGCAAGTGGGCTTTGCAGCGTTCTCCAGCTATCTTCGCGTGCTATGCTCATTTCACACACCGGCCCGCACGCTCACTCTTTTCATTTCAACAAAAGCGTCCGCTTTAGCAGCCTGCTTTGACTGAACCACAGCCTCTATAAGTATCCTTGGCCCAGTTGATCTCTCCAGCGCCCACTTCATGTTCCAGATGTGCGGTGCGCAGCTTGACCAACACTTCGTGAACTGAACAAGGATCATGGGAAATCAATGCGAGAAAGACAGGCCAATTACAAGCTAGTTTGCTTGCCTTGTTTATCCAGAGCAGGTGCCGCGTTGTGTTGAGCAACGCTTTGTGGCTGGGTTGTCTGATTCCAGTGAGACACTCAAGAATCCTTAGCACGTGGCAATTTCGGGTACGAGGCAGCGCCCGCGAGGACGTATTGCAAAACAATCCGCAGCGATGTCTATAGACATGCCCCTTTGAGATCCGATTCGCGCAGCCAGTTGCGAAGTTATTTGACATGGGTCTCACAGAGGAAACCAGCATGGCACGCACATGGCAGAACGAAGGGCAAGAGTGCCATACACAAAAAAACATGCCGCACTCATGGCATTCCTTGTCTTAATTGCCAGTTCCATGTTGTGCTTGCAATCCTTGCCTGCAAAGCCTGTTTGACCTGGCCCTGTCCTGTTTCAGGAAGGAGCTATATAGCTTGCAGTTCTACAGCGCGCTCTGGGGCTTTGCTGCCGTACATCTCCATAGCTTTGAGGCTGGCAGGGGTGCGCAGCCTTGCACCGCTGCTGTCATGCGGCTAAAGCGCTGGCCGGCTCTGAGGGCCGCCGCAGCTCCCAAAGTCAAAACGCAAGCATTGCGCGGTCGGGCCCAGTGTTTTACATTTCCACACTGCTGCGCCTGCAGTGCACTGACGCAGGAGCTCGCCGTTTCAGCGCAAGGGGCATGTTATGCCATCAAAGATTGCAGCGCTATCCGCTTGCGTCATTGAGGCTCAGTGAGATAGACAGTGCCCCAAGGTGCTGTGCGACTGCCAGAGGGCCTTCGTTTGCCGCCACGATGGCATGCCCTACTTCCTTCGCAGGGTCGGGCGCAGCAGCGACGCCTTGCGACAGTACCCACCGTGCCTTGGCTTGGGTGCTCTCTTTGCAGCATTGTCCAGCTATCTTCGCGTGCTATGCTCATTTCACACCTGGGCCCCCACGCTCACTGAGTTATGGCACTTCTCATGTGAACAAAAGCGCCCGCTTTAGCAGCCTGCATTGACTGGGCCACAGGCTTTTTAAGTATCGTTGGCCCCGTTGATCCCTCCAGCGCCCTCTTCAAGCTGCAATGTGTCACTGTGCTGCTAAGATGTTCTAGATGTGCGTTGCGCAGATTGGCTCTTGGCCGCGGCAAACCCTGTGTGAACTGAGCAAGGATTATGTGAAATCAATGCGAGAAGGAAGTATGGCACTCCTTGGGTTGGTGTATGGTGCTCTGAGTGGCAAACTTGTAAGAGCTGTGACGCGGACGGTAGCTTGAAGCTGGCAGGGGTGCGCGGCTTTGCACCGCTGCTGTCATGCGGCTAAAGCGCTGGCCGGCTCTGAGGGCCGCCGCAGCTCCCAAAGTCAAAACGCAAGCATTGCGCGGTCGGGCCCAGTGTTTTACACTTCCACACTGCTGCGCCTGCAGTGCACTGACGCAGGAGCTCGCCGTTTTAGCGCAAGGGGCATGTTATGCCATCAAAGATTGCAGCGCTATCCGCTTGCGTCATTGAGGCTCAGTGAGATAGACAGTGCCCCAAGGTGCTGTGCGACTGCCAGAGGGCCTTCGTTTGCCGCCACGATGGCATGCCCTGCTTTCTTTGCAGACTCGGGCGCAGCAGCGACGCCTTGCGACAGTACCCACCGTGCCTTGGCTTGGGTGCTCTCTTTGCAGCATTGTCCAGCTATCTTCGCGTGCTATGCTCATTTCACACACCGGCCCGCACGCTCACTGAGTTATGTCACTTCTCATGTGAACAAACGCGGATGGTAGCTTGAAGCTGGCAGGGGTGCGCGGCTTTGCACCGCTGCTGTCATGCGGCTAAAGCGCTGGCCGGCTCTGAGGGCCGCCGCAGCTCCCAAAGTCAAAACGCAAGCATTGCGCGGTCGGGCCCAGTGTTTTACACTTCCACACTGCTGCGCCTGCAGTGCACTGACGCAGGAGCTCGCCGTTTTAGCGCAAGGGGCATGTTATGCCATCAAAGATTGCAGCGCTATCCGCTTGCGTCATTCAGGCTCAGTGAGATAGACAGTGCCCCAAGGTGTTGTGCGACTGCCAGAGGGCCTTCGTTTGCCGCCACGATGGCATGCCCTGCTTTCTTTGCAGACTCGGGCGCAGCAGCGACGCCTTGCGACAGAACCCACCGTGCTTTGGCTTGGGTGTTCGCTTTGCAGCATTGTCCAGCTATCTTCGCGTGCTATGCTCATTCACACATGGGCCCGCACGCTCACTGAGTTATGGCACTTCTCATGTGAACAAAAGCGTCCGCTTTAGCAGCCTGCATTGACTGGGCCACAGGCTTTCTAAGTATGCTTGGCCCCGTTGATCCCTCCAGCGCCCTCTTCACGGATGGTACAATGTGTCACTGTGCCGCTGAGATGTTCTAGATGTGCGTTGCGCAGATTGGCCTTTGGCCGCGGCAAGCACTTCGTGAACGAACAAGGATCATGGGAAATCAATGCAACAAGGACGTATGGCATTCCACTCAGAGCAAATTTGTAAGAGCTGTGACGCGGACGGTATCTTGAAGCTGTCAGGGGTGCCGCTGCTGTCATGCGGCTAAAGCGCGGGCCGGCTCTGAGGGCAGCTGTAGCTCCCAAAGTCAAAACGCAAGCATTGCGCGGTCGGGCCCAGTGTTTTACATTTCCACACTGCTGCGCCTGCAGTGCACTGACGCAGGAGCTGGCTGTTTTAGCGCAAGGGGCATGTTATGCCATCAGTCTTGAAGATTGCAGTGCTATCCGCTTACATCATTCAGGCTCAGTGAGATAGACAGTGGCTCAAGGTGTTGTGAGACTGTCAGAGGACCTTCGTTTGCCGCCACGATGGCATGCCCTGCTTTCTTTGCAGAGTCGGGCGCAGCAGCGACGCCTTGCGACGGAACCCGCCGTGCCTTGGCTTGGGTGTTGGCGGTGTGTCGGCACCAAGCACCTCAGTGTCGATCGCTTGCTGTTCCTGTTTTCTGACCGCCGTTTAGTCTACCCAGCGAGCGCCGAGCGCAAAAGCAATTCGGGTTGCAGCGTGATGAGAGGAGCGAGGGCTGCAAGTGGGCTTTGCAGCGTTCTCCAGCTATCTTCGCGTGCTATGCTCATTTCACACACCGGCCCGCACGCTCACTCTTTTCATTTCAACAAAAGCGTCCGCTTTAGCAGCCTGCTTTGACTGAACCACAGCCTCTATAAGTATCCTTGGCCCAGTTGATCTCTCCAGCGCCCACTTCATGTTCCAGATGTGCGGTGCGCAGCTTGACCAACACTTCGTGAACTGAACAAGGATCATGGGAAATCAATGCGAGAAAGACAGGCCAATTACAAGCTAGTTTGCTTGCCTTGTTTATCCAGAGCAGGTGCCGCGTTGTGTTGAGCAACGCTTTGTGGCTGGGTTGTCTGATTCCAGTGAGACACTCAAGAATCCTTAGCACGTGGCAATTTCGGGTACGAGGCAGCGCCCGCGAGGACGTATTGCAAAACAATCCGCAGCGATGTCTATAGACATGCCCCTTTGAGATCCGATTCGCGCAGCCAGTTGCGAAGTTATTTGACATGGGTCTCACAGAGGAAACCAGCATGGCACGCACATGGCAGAACGAAGGGCAAGAGTGCCATACACAAAAAAACATGCCGCACTCATGGCATTCCTTGTCTTAATTGCCAGTTCCATGTTGTGCTTGCAATCCTTGCCTGCAAAGCCTGTTTGACCTGGCCCTGTCCTGTTTCAGGAAGGAGCTATATAGCTTGCAGTTCTACAGCGCGCTCTGGGGCTTTGCTGCCGTACATCTCCATAGCTTTGAGGCTGGCAGGGGTGCGCAGCCTTGCACCGCTGCTGTCATGCGGCTAAAGCGCTGGCCGGCTCTGAGGGCCGCCGCAGCTCCCAAAGTCAAAACGCAAGCATTGCGCGGTCGGGCCCAGTGTTTTACATTTCCACACTGCTGCGCCTGCAGTGCACTGACGCAGGAGCTCGCCGTTTCAGCGCAAGGGGCATGTTATGCCATCAAAGATTGCAGCGCTATCCGCTTGCGTCATTGAGGCTCAGTGAGATAGACAGTGCCCCAAGGTGCTGTGCGACTGCCAGAGGGCCTTCGTTTGCCGCCACGATGGCATGCCCTACTTCCTTCGCAGGGTCGGGCGCAGCAGCGACGCCTTGCGACAGTACCCACCGTGCCTTGGCTTGGGTGCTCTCTTTGCAGCATTGTCCAGCTATCTTCGCGTGCTATGCTCATTTCACACCTGGGCCCCCACGCTCACTGAGTTATGGCACTTCTCATGTGAACAAAAGCGCCCGCTTTAGCAGCCTGCATTGACTGGGCCACAGGCTTTTTAAGTATCGTTGGCCCCGTTGATCCCTCCAGCGCCCTCTTCAAGCTGCAATGTGTCACTGTGCTGCTAAGATGTTCTAGATGTGCGTTGCGCAGATTGGCTCTTGGCCGCGGCAAACCCTGTGTGAACTGAGCAAGGATTATGTGAAATCAATGCGAGAAGGAAGTATGGCACTCCTTGGGTTGGTGTATGGTGCTCTGAGTGGCAAACTTGTAAGAGCTGTGACGCGGACGGTAGCTTGAAGCTGGCAGGGGTGCGCGGCTTTGCACCGCTGCTGTCATGCGGCTAAAGCGCTGGCCGGCTCTGAGGGCCGCCGCAGCTCCCAAAGTCAAAACGCAAGCATTGCGCGGTCGGGCCCAGTGTTTTACACTTCCACACTGCTGCGCCTGCAGTGCACTGACGCAGGAGCTCGCCGTTTTAGCGCAAGGGGCATGTTATGCCATCAAAGATTGCAGCGCTATCCGCTTGCGTCATTGAGGCTCAGTGAGATAGACAGTGCCCCAAGGTGTTGTGAGACTGTCAGAGGGCCTTCGTTTGCCGCCACGATGGCATGCCCTGCTTTCTTTGCAGACTCGGGCGCAGCAGCGACGCCTGCGACAGATCCCACCGTGCCTTGGCTTGGGTGTTGGCGGTGTGTTGGCACCAAGCACTTCAGTGTCGATCGCTTGCTGTTCCTGTTTTCTGACTGTTTGATCTACGCAGCGAGCGCAAAAGCAATTCATATTGCAGCGTGATGGGAGGAGCGAGGGCCCGCCGAACCCCAAATGGACCATGCCGACATTTGACCACCGAACCTCACATGGCTTCGCAGGATTGCTGATTCGGGTTTATCGGCATCGCCGGTGGTGTGCGAAACTTCTGGCTCCCAGGGGCATGGTGCGGAAGTGGCCGGTCAGCTCGATCATTCTCGAGCGTCCTTATATGTCCCCTCATGCTGAAAAAGGAGACTTCGATGTGTTTGAACGCCTGGAAAGGTCTCTGAATCCCAAAAAAAAAAAAAGTTAGGAAGGTGATAGAGTTGCAAGGAACACATAAGGACACTGCAAGTGGGCTTTGCAGCGTTCTCCAGCTATCTTCGCGTGCTATGCTCATTTCACACACCGGCCCGCACGCTCACTAAGTTCTAACACTTTTTATAAAAACAAAAGCGTCCGCTTCAGCAGCCTGCTTTGACTGAACCACAGCCTCTATAAGTGACCTTGGCCCCGTTGATCCCTCCAGCGCCCACGTCGTGTTCCGGATGTGCGTTGTGCTGTTTGACCAACACTTCGTGAACTGAACAAGGATCATGGGAAATCAATGCGAGAAAGACAGGCCAATTGCAAGCTAGTTTGCTTGCCTTGTTTATCCAGAGCAGGTGCCGCGGTGTGTTGAGCAACGCTTTGTGGCTGGGTTGTCTGATTCCAGTGAGACATTCAAAAGGCCCTAGCACGTGGCAATTTCGGGTGAGAGGCAGCGCCCGCGGGGACGTATTGCAATCCGCAGCGATGTGTATAGACATGCCCCTTTGAGATCCAATTCGCACAGCCAGTTGTGAAGGTATTTGACGGTTGTTTCTCACACAGGAAACCATCATGGCACGCACATGGCCAAACAAAAGGCAAGAGTGCTACACACGAGCGAGCTGGACCTGGTTTGCTCCAAGCGGTTCCGCGACTGCGCGAGGGCCTTCGTTTCCCGCTTTAAGTTGACACGTTCTGCTTCCTTTGCGGGGTCGGTCGCAGCAGTCGCCAGGGCAATCATGCCTTGCGACAGAACCCACAGTACTTTGGCTTGGGCTTCGGCATTGCGTTGGCAAACATACTGCAGTGTCGACCACTGGCTCTTCCTGTCTTCTGACCTCGATGACCCAGCACCTGCACTTTGCAGCGTTATCCCGATACCTTTGGGCGCGGCAGTCATTTCCTGTATGGAGCCGCGCTCACTCGTAGAGTGACAGCGCGCGTCCTGCCGCAGAATGCTTTGTCGCCGAAGGGTTGTTTGCATGTCGAGAGAAGCATGCAAATCGCAGCAGCCCGGTGGAGTCCGAAACCTGTCGCCGCAGGGCAGCTTTTTGTTTCGGGCCTGAAGCTAAGTACCCTTTGCCCCGCCCAATGCGACCAAGTGTCAGGAGCAGTGTTCCTTGGCTAGCGGCCCACGTTCAGCCGTAGCGCATTGATATAGACAGGCAGGCTGCGAGCTAGCATACTCAGCAGTCGCCTTGTTTTGCCACCGAATCACGCGCTGCGCAACAATTTTGCAGCAGGGGCTACAGGACAAACAAGTCTTGACCAGGTCACAAAGGACGTGCGCAAAGTTGCGAGTGTTACCGCATTGACAGAGGCAGGCAAGCTTCAAGCCAGTGCGATGTTCGTCCAACATCGCAACATGTTGCCGGGCTAGTGGTGATGGGATGTGTACAGCATTGCTCTTCTAGGCTGAGTTCAATGTCTTTTACGAAAGACAATGCTCCTTGCTCGCATGTTGTGATTGTGGCTTCAAGAGGTTGATATGCGCCCACACTGCTTGGCAGCAGTGAGAAGGCAAGATGCCTCAAGCGCAGCATGCGAGGAGCGCTATTTGTGTTGCTTTGGCTGCTGCCCCACAGCTCATCACCAGCCTGCATCCAAGAATCTCTGGTGTACCCATGTGATGGCCCCTGCGTATTGCAGTCTCGCACCATGTCTTTGGCGGGCATCAACCTTGATCGATTGCCAGAAGCTGGGCAAGTCTTCGCATTGACTCGGGCAGCGAACTCGAGATGCTTGCAGCCGCGCGCCGGCTACAAGGGCATCCGCGACACATGTGCAGCCTTGCTGGCTCTGCGGCTGCCGTCTGTCCAGCGTTCTCCAACTTGTGGCACGCCTAGGACCAGATGGACCAGCGCGTCACGCCTCGAGGTCAACGCGCGCAAGGCCGCTTTGCAGGTCCTGGGGGGCTCTGGCTGCCGGGAATGGCACATGCGCTGGCCCAAGCGAGAGAAACAGAGAGAGAAAAAAAAATACGAACAAATAATAAGAACAAACAACAAGAAACGACGCGACATTGGGGCGATGGGCCAGGCAGTTTGTTGCAAAGGGTTTGGTTGAGGGTGGAGTGTGTAGGAGAACAGCGGAATGGTGAGTATGGATGCCTTTGGTCTTCCTCAGCATCTATATCGAAATATAAGTTGAAGCGTTCATTCAGTTGGGTCCCGTTCCCTTTTGCGAGGGATGCAATTCCATGCTCGTCCGCAATCCCTTTCGAAACGAATGTGCTTGAGCCCCCTCCGATGGTGGATGTGCCTGGCCTTGCGCGTGAGTGCGCGCGTGATTGTGTTTCCAGGTGCTAGCTTCTTTTGGTGTTTCTAAGGGGGTCAAAAACAGTGTTCCTAGATGAGTCCATTGCCCAGGATATCGTTCTGTCAAGAACTTTTTTGTAGGCAATCCAAGTGATCGTTGTCAGGCCAAAGGGACGGCAGACTTTGGAACTTGCGGAAAGCAATGCGAGGTGCGTTCCAGCTGAAGATTCTTCCGTCATGAACGCCCAGGCCAGACGCAAACCCGAGCATGATGCGGTGGCACTGGGGGCGCTTGGTGTTCGCGACTGAGGCAGTCTACATGCCGCAGCTTGCTTTGAGGAGGCGCTGCGTCTGACACTGCGGTGCCGGCATGTGTGCCAGCTTCGCAGCGCTGGCCGAAGAAGCAGCCCGGCGATTGGTCGCATTTGACCATGGGTCAGAAGCCCGTACCCCCTGTGAACATCCCAATCCCCAGTAAATAGACTAAAACGGGTGGTTCACCTACCCCCAAATGGTTCCATTGCTTACTGCGCACAAACCACATACACACGCACAAACCACACAGTTTTCAGTCACATCACTGGCAGTCGCGCTGAACGTTTAGGGTGACCGTTCAGCAAGAACAACGTCAAGCCAGAAACAACTGCAGGGCGACACACACGGGCTGAAACTCGTGGTTGCTAAAAACTTTAACAGGCGCGTCGAGGGCGCTTCGTTGCACCATCGCACACAGCAAACGGATGGTCCCCCAGCATCCGCCAGAAATCCTCCAATGAGGCGGACAATTCAGCGCATAACGGAAGGTCAGCAAAAGAAGGGCACACACGCAAACACCCATACACACGCAGACACACCCACAAACACACAAACACAGAAACACACAAATACGCAAACGCGCACACACACACAGGCAAAATCACACGCGCACACGCAGACGCAGACGCAGACACAGACACAGACACAGACACAGACACAGACGCAGACGCAGACGCAGACGCAGACGCAGACGCAGACACAGACACAGACACAGACACAGACACAGACACAGACACAGACACAGACACAGACACAGACACACAGACACACAGACACACAGACACACAGACACACAGGGACAGAGAACAAAGAGACAAGAGACACAGGACAGACAGACAGACAGACAGACAGACAGACAGACAGACAGACAGACAGAAGACAGAAGACAGACAGACAGACAGACCACCCCACGCACACACACCCCACACCACACCATCACGCACACTCACGCACACGCGCACGCACCGCACACGCATTGCACACGCCACACCCTCACCCACACCCACACCCACACCCACACCCACACCCACACCCACACCCACACCCACACCCACACCCACACCCACACCCACACCCACACCCACACCCACACCCCCACCCACACCCACACCCACACCCACACCCACACACACACACACACACACACACACACACACACACACACACACACACACACACACACACACACACACACACACACACAACACACACACCACACACACACACACACACACACACACACACACACACACACACACACACACACACACACACACACACACACACACACACACACACGCACGCACACACGCGCGCCCACGCACGCACGCACGCGCGCGCATACGCACGCACGCACACACGCACACACCCGCACACGCGCACCCGCGCACCCGCGCACCCGCGCACCCGCGCACCCGCGCACCCGCGCAAACGCGCACACGCGCACACGCGCACGCGCGCACACGCGCACACCCGCACACCCGCACACCCGCACACCCGCACACCCGCACACCCACACACCCGCACACCCGCACACCCCCACACCCGCATGCACGCACACACGCAACACGCAACACGCAAACACGCAAACATGCAAACACGCAAACACGCAAACATGCAAACCCGCAAACCCGCAAACGCACAATCGCAGGAACGCACAAACACCCAAACACGCAAACACGCAAGCACACACAGACAGACAGAGACAGACGCGCAGACGCACAGACGCACAGACGCACAGACGCGCAGACGCGCAGATGCGCAGACGCACAGACGCACAGACGCGCAGACGCACAGACGCGCAGACGCACAGACGCACAGACGCCCAGACACGCAGACACGCCGACAGACAGAAACACACACACACACACAGACACACACACACACACACACACACACGCACGCACGCACGCACCCACCCACCCACGCACCCACGCACCCACACACGCACGCACGCACGCACGCACGCAAGCATGCACGCCCGCGCCCACACGCACGCACGCGCGCACGCGCGCGCACGTGCGCACGCACGCACGCACGCACGCATGCACGCACGCACGCACACGCACACGCACACGCGCACACACACACACACATGCACAGACACACCACACTCGTACACAAACCACGCATACTCACATGTCAAGATACGCAAGGGCATCCAACGCGCAAGTGCTGACAACCAGCTAGAAGAAGTTGACAAACGAGCGTGTTGGTTCAGATTGTTGAACGTGGCGCTGCCGCCTTTCAGCTTAGCATCAACAACCACCAGCACTTTTCAAGACTGACGCAAGCCTCGCCGCAAAGTGGCGAAGGACGCAGCCATGCACGCGGAGCCTACCAGGCAGAGCAAGCTGGGCTCTAAAGCGAGCACCGCCAAGCATACCCCCCAGCCATGTCACGCGAGCGGCGGACCTGAAGCCTACGGGTGTTGAAGAGGGGTCAGCGCATTTGCGTCCATGTGGAAGTGCTTTGAACCCCTAAGCCCCATGCCTCTCTTCCACGGGTCTGAGGTTAACTGCCCCGTGTCCTTCGAGAACGGGTTCAAGGTCCAACGTCGCGCGTGCAGCAGTACACATTGCCTCAAGCTCAAGCGCCCGCCTTAGTGGAGTGGTTTCGGGAACCACGACGACTGGTCAGAGACCCACATTGTTGAAATTCAGTCTCTGACACGAGGTGGTTTTTCTCGAGTTTGCCAGCGACCGTTTTAGCCGCGAAGCTGCTTCCAGATGTCACACGGAGGTCTCGGTGGCGAAGCAATGCACCTTGATCGTCGCGAGGATTGGCTGCTCGGTTTTCGGGGGGCGGTTGCATTGGCTATCAGCCGTTTGGGAAGGATTGGACTGCCAAATCCTTGTAGCCTTTTTTCATCCCATCCCCTCGACAGATCAAACATGGAATTGGGATGACGCCTGGAATTCCACTTTAGTTGCTTTGTTTTTTGGGGGAAGACGATTGGAGATCCCCCCAGCAAGGTCTGGAAGGATGCGTTTCTCGCCTCTAACAGTAAGGGCAGTTAATTATTGGCCTCCAAGGCGGATCCCGTTGTCCAATTTTCTCCCTTGTTGAGCTTCAAACTCCTGCATTTGGAATGTCTTTGCGCGGCTTCACAATGGCTGGAAGGCGCAAGCACGTGTGAAACCCACGGTTGCTGAGGCTGGCCTATCGAGATAACAAGATCCATTGGGCAAGGCTGCTGGTGGGCAGACGGAAGCTTCGTGATACAATCCAGCGCCGAAAAGAGCACTTTCGTGGGGACGCGCGCGGTATGATTTGGTCGGGTCAGCATGGCGATCTGTGAAAGCAACAATTGTCTGCTTTCAGCCGAGAGGATCAATGGCATTGTGTATCTTGGATCCTGAAACCAGGCCTTGTCTGCTTTCAGCCGAGAGGAGCAATGACATTGTGTATCTTGGATCCTGAAACCAGGGCTGGCCTACATCTTAGGTCTTGTCTATCTTTCTCTAAAGCCCGGGACGCGGTTTCAATCCAGGATGTGAACATGCCACATTTCATGTCGGTCGATTATTGTGCACTTGCTGCTTGCCTAAGCCACGTGAAGCGGTGTCGGGTTCAAAAATGAAGAATGATACGTACATCAACTGAATCAACTGATTCAGAAGCAACTGCGGACACAGTGAGACGGCTGATCCAAACTTTAGAACAAGAAAGGGACTGGTGAAAACGATGCAGACATGATCGCGGCTGAGGGACCAAGAGGAACTGCCGCCGTGTCTCATCTCTTGTTCCTGATCATATTAGTATGGGTCAAAACAAGCCGCCAGAAACCGCTGGTTTAAGTCCATTCCATTTACCAGGGCAACCCATTTTTGGGCATTCCGATCATTTCTGCCCCACGGCCGCATGTCTTGTCTTTTTTTTTGGGGGGGAATTCGGGCGCCGCCGAAACCGGGCGTGATGAATCTGATGCGACTCCTGACCTAGCGCGAAGTGGCTCAAGATCCCCGGGCTCCGAGCTCTCCGAGGCCGGGGGGCGTGGCACACGTGACGAACCTGACGTGGAACGGGGACCCGGTCTTAGGTCTGGATGGTCCCCGAAACCTCTGGAATTCCATGTGAAGTGTGCAGATTGCTTGATTGGAATCATAGGACACGACACCAGAAACCCCATATTTTGAAAAATCAGCTTTTCGGAGGTTTCCGATTTTTCCGGTTCAGCTTGTTTTACAGGGAAAGAGAAGACAACGGACAGACAGCGTGACAGCATGTGTCTTTTGCCCCAATGCATCCTGGGTAATTCGGACAGGTTCAGATTCTTTGCACCAATCAAAACCAGACGTGCGCATGTTAGTTCGCCCTTGTATGCTGATTGGTCACCACATGGGCCTTCCAGGGGTCCTCAATAGTCTCCTTCGTCGGGTGAGTCTGCGGATCTTCCTGGCAGGGCCACGGTTTGCGCAACGACTTCGAGACTTCAAGTTTTAAGCGGTCGGCCTTTCTCACACCCACACAGACACCAACTGGAGGCCACTGGTTTTGACCCATGGCCAAGTTGCAAGAAAGCCCACATCGACCTTTCCCAAAAGAAAGAGACATCCTTCCTGACTGTAGGTTTCCTTCAGGATGCGAGGATGTGGTCAAAATAGGCGAACCACGGCTGCTTTCCCAAGGAGAAACCAACCCCAAAAACTGCCCACAACCCCAAAACGGTACATCACAAAAACCCACGCCGATATACGTAGTCAAGCGCTAAAAATGAGTCGTTTCCTTGTGGTTCTCCATTTTGAGCCACCAAAATGAGTCCTTTTTGTGGTTTCTCCATTTTGAGCAACCAAAATGAGGCGGTTCCTTGTGGTTTCTCCATTTTGAGCCACCCAAGCCGGGCGTCTGACCAGCCATTGGCCGAATCCGACCTCCGATTTTGGAGGCGATGAAAAGCGCCTTCTCCGTGCCTCCAGGATTGGAGGCAACCGAAGAGGGGGTTTCGGCCAAGACATATGGTCCATCTGCTGAAGTGAATATACAACTAGGTCCCCCAGCTAGGTGCCAACTTTTACCGTTTCTTTTTGTGGGAGGGTTCCCCTAAAATAGACTACAGAAAAAAAGTTGGTACCCTTATTCTAGCCTCTCTACTGGAGGACCTAGACAACAACCGGGGCCCTGGACTGAGCAATATATGGAAGGGGCGTACTCCACAGAATTATCTTGGATGTTGGTCGTCTCAATTATCGTCCCACATGGCTGTGGTTGTCAAAACCCAGGAAACCAATTTTTCAATATCAAAATAGGTGGTACATGGGTGTTTTGTTTTTTTATCGCCCCAAAATGGAGGCATATGAATATTTGCTGAAATGCTTTTTGTTCTGGATTTTCCCCTGTTGGTTTTAAAGGGAATCTGTCACTACTGGAAACATTTGTTTCCCAGGGTCTTAAGCCAACGGAGGTGGTTTTGCCCGAGAAAAACAGGGTTTCGCCCAACAGCAAGACGGCTGTTCCAAAAGCAAGAGGGTTTCACCCAACACAAAGGGGTTTTGCCCAACAACACTGGCTTTCCCAACACAAGGGCTTTGCCCAACAAATGCGGGTTTGGCCAACAGAACGGGGCTGGGCGACAAAAATCGTTTTGCCAAACAAATTGACCAGCAACAGGGTTTTGCCAGCACTACATGATTTGCCAAACAAAAAGAGGTTTGCCTGACAAAAACACTGGTTTGCTTAGCAAAATGGGCTCGCGCAACAAAAAGAGGGTTGCCCAACAACATGGGGGTTTGACTTCAACAAGGGTTTGCCTAGCAAGAAAGGAGAAGCATGTGGCGGCATGACTTGCTCATGTTGCGGAAGTGTTTGTTCGGTGGGCTCGTAAGCTAAGGGCTCGAGGAAGCTCTAAGCACCTCGGCAGGAGGTTTTGAATGCCGCTCATGAGTTTGTGGAGACGAACCCGCGCTGTGCTTACACTCCAAAGCTGTTGGGGACACTCATATATGTCTCATGTGAAGGTTGCTTTGTCCGTTTGCATCATGAAAAGGGGTCGTCCAATCCTGAAAAATGGTGAGGCTGCCTGGGAGCGTTGTTTGGGCTCACAACTCAATTCTTGCCGTTGAGAATCGCATTCGTGGAATAATGTGGGTGTGGCTCAAAAATAGCACAGGAGGGGTTACGCAGGTTTTTGTCCATGTTTCTACTTACCAGGGTTGATTTTGGCACCGGTTTTTTGAGCCACAGCCATGTAAAGCCTCAAAGTGAGCAATCAAAACATTGGAGGAAGCCGAGCCAGGCACAGCCGAAACGTGCGACGTGGGATGAGACATTGAAACACGTGGCGCGGATTTTGCCATCAACTCGTGGCTGTCCAGGATTTCAGTTTGGTACATGTTGGTCTTGGTTCTTTTGCGTTTGCATGGCGGCGATTACGTGACGTGCGGATCATGGTTGAAACCGATACGATAGGCAGAATCGATGTTTGAGTCCAACAAATGCACTGCAAGCGCGCATGTACGAGCTACGACATTTCAAAAGCCAAAATGAACCCACTTGGTTTTCGGGGGCAGTTACATGATCCGCTTTTCTAGAGCTGTTGAAATGAAGGGACCCCCGATGAAGGGACCCACCTTCGGCTGATCTGTGCAATTTCAAGATGCTTTTGGGACTGGAAGCCTAGCAACTGCAAGCAAAACGAGAAGCCTCGATTGCTCGATTGCGGTTTGACAGGTGAACGTGCACTTGGAGACTTTGGAGGCGATCTTGCCGCTGACTTGCTTGACTTTGACTAGCGAAGCTTGGGATTCTCTTTTTGTTCCATTCTTAGTCTCTGCTCATTTTGCCGACCTTTTGACTCATGTTGATCTTTTGGTTTTGAAATGTTGATCCATAGTCAGAAGGTCACAGGCGAACCTTGTGTTTCCAGGTCGGAGTCCGGTTCCTTTCATGGCTAAGCCATGAGCTCGCGAATTCTCGGGGAAATTCCAACTAGGGATACGGGGGAATCCGGATTCCGATCCCCGTTTGATGCAAAGTTTCTGGGAACTCGCGCCAAGGAATCGAATCCCCCCATCTCCCCACTCCCGTATCCCAAATGAACCACACAGATTTGGTCTCCTTGGTCTCGGAATAGCGAACACTTCGGCTCGACAGCTCATGAATTGGCCCAGGAATCCAACTCAGGGGTTCAGTGGCACCTATTCTTTTCCCCTATTTTGGGGTGGCTGCCCCCACTAAGAATGGAAAAAGACCCCAAAAAAGGGTTCCAACTTTTTTGCCCAGGGTCACAGAACAACTGGGCCAACATTTTGTGAACCGGTTGACCCAAAACTAGCGCGCAAGCTTCCGCGGCTTTCGACTATGCTGAGTTCAGCCGTTGTTTCAATTAGCCATGGCACCCCCAAATAACTTAACCTCATATGTGCAGCCACTCGTGGAATTGCCCAAGGCCTTCGGCCAGAGTTGATTCATGTCGCATTGAGTAGCGCAGAGGCTTTTGCTGGGGGGCTGATCAGCGACTTGTTTCAGCCAGTCCCTTCAATGTGCATGTCATGCGCGAAGAAAACAAAATAAGCTATTTGTGTTTGAATATGTTTGAATAAATGTGAACCGTGCAGTTGAATTATATGGGAGAATGTCTGGAGTGCAAGCTTTCTGCCTCACGAATCCTAGACCATTCGCTTCAAGAAACGATCGTGAATGTGGTAAGGGGTCGAGTTATGAAACTTAGTCTCTTCAATGTGCATGTCATGTGCAAAAACCAAGAACCAGCTGTTTGTGTTTGAACAAATGTGAACCGTACACGGAAGCGGATGTTCATTTTTGGACTCCTTGTCAGCTTCTTTTCGAGGCTTGCCCGCGGCCCAAGTCTGCCAAGCCTACCGTTTTGCAGAAAAAAACAAAAGTTGAATTATATGGGAGAATGTCCCGGGTGCAATCTTTTTGCCTCACGAATCCCAGACCTTTCGCTTCAAGAAACGATCGTTAATGTGGTAAGGGGTCGAGTTATGACACTTAGTCCCTTTAATATGCATGTCATGTGCAAAGACAAAGACAAAAAGCAAGAACAAGCTGTTTGGCAAGGTCGAGATGCAACAAATGGATCCGTCAGATTCACGCAGGAAAGCATGCGGCAGTTGGCCCCAGACGCCTCACGGGAGACATTGATCCAGGCCAGGCCCCTTCCGCCCACCCGATTAGGTGTCGGATCTGGAAGCTTAGGTGTCGGTGCGGCGCAGGTTGTTTTTCTGGGGGGGTTCACTCTGAAAACACCAAGAAGATCCAAACAAAAGGTACCAACTCCTTGTCAGCTTTCAACCACTTAGACTAGCATCTCATTTGGAGACCCGTGACCTATGCCAGAAGTTTTTTCTTAGGGGGGTTGCTCACGGTTGCCAGCTTGCCAAGGCGGAGAGATATAATACCTTTGTGTGCTTGATGTGTTGCTTGAGCCAACGAGCTTTGTGTTGTGGCTGCAAAATCGCCCCGAACAAAAAGAACACAGTGCAGCCATTCAGTTCTGTTTCAGCTGAAACCCTGCGGCCTCGAAAAGGTACCACATGCCCTCTCCCCAAGCCCTCAAATTACCCTTAAAAATGGGTAGTGCCCAACCTCAAAAAAATGCCAACCTCAAAAAACCTGGTTTTCAGACCAAAACCCGGTTTTTCGCCTTTCTTACAGGGCACCCTTGCTTTTTGTATGGTTTCAAGGGCCCCCCAATGACGGGGGCTGTTTGAAGGTCCAGGTCTATGTCTCTTTGTTTGGGCCAGGTGGTGCGAGAGGTTGTGATGAGCGAAGTGGAGAAGATCGTCCAGGACTTCAGTTCGGCACGCGGATTGACACCAAGAGACATAGGTGTCCTTTTTGGTTGTTTTGGTGAAAAATTTGGTTGGCCCTGGTTTACCTGGTGGCTTAACCATCTACCAGGGCCATCTATTTGCCCTAAAAGGACACCTATGCCAAGAGACGTCAAAAAGGACAGCAGAAAGGGGATGATTTGGCAGTGGATCTTCTAAATATGTGGGATGATTTGGCAGTGGGTCAACACTTCGGATAGCAGAAAGGGGATGATTTGGCAGTGGGTCTCTCCAATATGTGGACTCTGCAAAGTTCAGCCTGCCGCAATTCCATTTTTGTTCATAGTTCCGAAAACTAAAGGATAACCCCAAAATGGGAACGATGGCAAATGGAAGCATGGACTAAATCTGTGGTCCCATGGTGGTTTAATTTTGACCCACAGCCATTTGGAGTATTTGAGGGGTTGATTCCTTGTCCTTTCGTTTTCAGCCATCGTTCTTTTCAAACACCGGATCCGTTTCCCCAGGGGTTTTGGTGGTTTTCTAGAAAGATTTGGATCCCTGGAAAGAATGGAAATGGAAGTTACCCCTAGAAGTATCAACAAATAACTGGACATCCACAGGAGGCTTACGTACACAGATGTCCACAAAGGATGCCGGTTTGCTGGCAGAATTTCTGAAAGAACCCATGTTTAGAGGAATCTCCTTTCGGGCGGAAGAATCCCTTTCTGGTTCCCTATTATCCATGTTGATTCGCAGGGCAGTTACTGTGACCAGCCAGGTACCGACTTTGATCATTTGATCATATGGACCCCGCGAGGAGATGTTGCAGTGGGTCACGCCGCGTTTGTGGTCTTGTTAGAACTTGAGCAGCAAAGAACCCCCTCCGAACAATGGAGGAATCAGAATACTTGCAACAACATGGAACATCCAAAGCTGCGGCATGGCTTAGATGCATTGTGTGAAGGATGCTGTTTCATGACAAAACAAAAGGGGGGGAGGGGGGAGGGGGGGGAGGGCAGGGGATCTGAAAAAATACAGCCCAGTAATGGTTGTCCTTAGTGAGCCCAAATCAAAAGGGGTGCAACCCTTTTGCAGTGGCGTGCAGCTTCGGGCACGCCACACCTGAAGCACCATCCGCTAGGGCTTCTGTGAGCTAGGTACCCTTTCACAGGCGATTTCTTTTTGTTAGTGGGAGGAACACCTTTCAGGTTTTCCATCTTTGGCCACCGCTTTTCGTGGTCACAAAAGGCTAGCCTACCTCCAACATGGCACCTGTGAGGGTCCCTGGAAGATACCTGGAGTCTCAAACCACCCCAAATTTTTGGGGCAAAATGTAAAGAATGGCATTCTTTGTCGAAACACCTTTTCTTGAACAAAGCACACTTTTTTGGTTCTGTGCCAAGTAAAGCCCTGAAAGTCCATCAGCGGATTTGTTTAACGGTGTTGTCACGATAAGCGGTGTTCTTTGGGGCGTTGCTGTTCACTGCGCAGGGCTTCCTTGAAAGATGCAAGTGCCAATTCAAGCAGCGGCGCGGACCTTGCTATCACCCAATGTAAAACCTCCAGGTTCAGCTCAGCTGCTCAATGCCTTTGATGTTGGCATGGAAGAAATCATCAAACATAATTTGACCTTGGCCAAAACGGCTTGAATGCCAACGCAACACAAGGGAAAACAAAAGCCGCGTTATTAGCCTTGCATTTATGTGTGAGAAAAGCATTTGTGTGTTGCACAAGTTGAGAAGGCTGCCCCGTTGCGCGTTGCTGAGTCGCAAAGCATCCAAGTCAGGTGTTTCCTTTGGAAGCGAGCAGGTGGCTTGGTGCACCACAACTCAAACTGATGTTTAGGAGGGCGCTGCGACAATGCAAAGAACCAACATCACTTAAACAGGAGTTAGACATTTCGAGTTGTTTCTTCTAGTGTGTGCGGTGTGCTTTGCGCGGCACACATCACAAACGGTTTTTCATGGCAAAACCCGGTCTTCGTCTTCTAGTGGCTTGAAACAGTGTGTCATGCGCAGTTCACCGCATGTTCATGTAATGTCACTCTACTTTCACGACTGTAGAGTCCAGGAAGGTACAATTTCAATGAACAAATATTGTCGCACCAAATTCAGAAGGATAGCTTTCGCAGATTTTGTAGCAGCGCGATGGGAGTGATTCCGTATTTGTCCACAGCTCTGTGCCTTTGGGCCATGTGCCCAATATTGCTTCAATCTACAAACAACACAAGAAACATGTTAATTAAGCATGATATACAATACTTTGCAAATTCGGGTATGTTCAGTTTCACCATGCCTCCTAGATGATCAAGTTCACATGTTGCTTCAACTCTTCAACTGTGGTTCTCTGGCTAATGCAACTCAGCGCAACATGTATCAGTTGCCCTTAAAGTTGATGCCGTGAAGCAAGCATATTGCTTTTAAGCTTAGCTCACAGCGCTAAACTGCCCCAAGACCCTCACTGTTACAGCCAAAGGGTCCAGTATTTATATGATAACAGGCAAGCTTGCAAGGCATGCTACAGTATTCTGCGAACAATAGCTGTCACTAGCAATTGAATGGTCGTTCCGTAACGTCCACCTAGGATTAAGCATTGCACCTGGAATAAAGACAAATGGGTGGCTCCCCAAAAAATGCACCTGGAATAAAGACAAGCACCCGCCACCCCCGCCCAAATTGTCTGAACGAAAAGTATAAGGAACATGACAAAATGGAACAAACAGAGAAAGAAGAGGAGAGGTAGCCAAGCCAACACCTGGTCCTTAGATCTTTGGTACCTTGTTCTTCAGCTCCCCAAAAATCAAACTGTCCAGCTGCCCAAGAAGTCATGGTTTGTTACATGCCTCTTGTTTAAAAACTGCCCGCAATCAAACCTGCAAAGGGGGTGGGTAGTACTTCAGGCCCCCAAACTTGAGCCCAAGACTTTATTTCAGGGGCTCCTACAATAAAGTCTTGTTGTCTGGCCCCCTGCAAATATACAACTAGCCCAGTGTAACTACCTATGAAGCTTCGGGCTTTGTTGTTAGATTTGGGCCTGCTTCCCAAAATCAATAATGTCCAGCTTCCCCAAGCTCTTGTTTGCTTGCATGTCTCTTGTATAAAAAACTGCCTACAACCAAACCCACAAACAACCTAGTACTTCAGAAACTTCACCCCCAATTTGACATTATTTCAGCGGCCCCTGAAATAAAGTCTTGTTGCCTGCCCGCGGCTGCCCGCGTCCAAAAAAACTTTAGAGCCTCCGGCTCAGTCCGCCGACATTGTCCTCTCCCTTTTCTCCTTCTTCCTCTCTCCCTTGTCTCCCTGGTGTGTTCTGTCGTCCTCTCTCCCTCCCTCCGCTCCCCATCCTCCCCATCCCCCCAAGCCACTCTCTCCCCAATCTCCCTCTCTCGTATGTATGTATGTATGTATGTATGTATGTATGTATGTATGTAATGTATGTATGTATGTATGTATGTATGTATGTATGTATGTATGTATGTATGTATGTATGTATGTATGTATGTATGTATGTATGTATGTATGTATGTATGTATGTATGTATGTATGTAATGTATGTATGTATGTAATGTAATGTATGTATGTATGTATGTATGTATGTAATGTATGTATGTATGTATGTATGTATGTATGTATGTATGTATGTATGTATGTATGTATGTATGTATGTATGTATGTATGTATGTATGTATGTATGTATGTATGTATGTATGTATGTATGTATGTATGTATGTATGTATGTATGTATGTATGTATGTATGTATGTATGTATGTATGTATGTATGTATGTATGTATGTATGTATGTATGTATGTATGTATGTATGTATGTATGTATGTATGTATGTATGTATGTATGTATGTATGTATGTATGTATGTATGTATGTATGTATGTATGTATGTATGTATGTATGTATGTATGTATGTATGTATGTATGTATGTGTATGTATGTATGTATGTATGTATGTATGTATGTATGTATGTATGTATGTATGTATGTATGTATGTATGTATGTATGTATGTATGTATGTATGTATGTAATGTAATGTATGTATGTATGTATGTATGTATGTATGTATGTATGTATGTATGTATGTATGTATGTATGTATGTATGTATGTATGTATGTATGTATGTATGTAAGGTAGGTAGGTAGGTAGGTATGTATGGATGCATGCATGCATGTATGTATGTATGTATGTATTGCATGTATGCATGTAATGTAATGTAATGTAATGTAATGTAATGTATGTATGTAATGTATGTAATGTATGTATGTATGTATGTATGTATGTATGTATGTATGTATGTATGTATGTATGTAATGTATGTATGTATGTAATGTAGTGTATGTAATGTATGTATGTATGTATGTAATGTAATGTAATGTATGTATGTAATGTAATGTAATGTAATGTAATGTAATGTAATGTAATGTAATGTAATGTAATGTAATGTAATGTAATGTAATGTAATGTAATGTAATGTATGTATGTATGTATGTAGGTAGGTAGGTATGTATGTATGCATGCCTGCATGTATGTATGTATGTATGTATGTATGTATGTATGTAATGCATGTATGCATGTATATGTAATGTAATGTAAATGTAATGTATGTAATGTATGTAATGTATGTAATGTATGTATGTAATGTAATGTAATGTAAAGTAATGTAATGTAATGTAATGTAATGTAAAGTAATGTAATGTAATGTATGTATGTATGTATGTAATGCGATGTAATTTAAAGTAATGTAATGTGATGTTGTGTAATGTAATGTATGTATGTATGTTTGTATGTCTGTCTGTCTGTATGTATGTCTGTATGTATGTATGTATCCTTGCACTTCCCCTTTGCTCCCCAGTATTTCCCGCAAAAAACACTGTTTTTCCAGCGTTTTCGCAAAGATGATGTCCAAAAACACAGAGTTTTTCCAGATTTTCGGCAAAAGGATGCAGGAAGCCCAAGCCAGCAAAAAAGCCGGCAGGGGGAATCGAGCCTGGGACCCCTGTT